GCTCTTAATGGAAAACATTGGTCCTGGCACTGGATTATGCCTCATGCTAAGGGCAAACTAGAGAGAAAAGATGCAGTGGGTGAGGTTTAAATTAAATTTTAGATTGGTGCAGAGCAATTGGACAAGAATGCTTCATTTATACTGGCTTAGAGAAGTATGGGTTAGTGGACCCCATTTATTCAATCTTGATATCACTGACAAACTATGCCATAAAATGCATGCAACTATGCCCTGCATACAGCTGCTGAGGATTCCTACTTCCAATGCCCAATTTCAAGTAAGAGAAGTGAGGAAAGAAGATTTTGCTTTACCTGGGCCTAATATGAAGCCAACTGCTTGGCAGGCACTGGTGTTGGCCATGGCACTCGTTCTTTCTGTCAGAGAAGTGGCACCCGCAATATACGACCGAACTACGGCCACATTGCCTGCAAAAAACCCAAACCAAGAAGTGTTCGTGTAAGCATCAAGTTCATATTGTTAAATGTTGAGTGACATTTATTTCAGGGCTTTGTTTGGTTGGCAGGCACTGGTATTGGCCATGGCAGTCATTCATAGGCACCTGCAATATACTATTGAGCTACAGACACATTGCCCTCAAAAAAAACCCAAACCAAGAAGTGTTCATGTAAGCATCAAGTTCATATTGTTAAATGTTGGGTGACATTTATTTCAGGGCTTTGTTTGCTTGGCAGGCACTGGTGTTGGCCATGGCACTTGTTCTTTCTATCACAGAATAGGCACCTGCAATATACTATTGAGCTACAGACACATTGCCTTCAAAAAAAACCCAAACCAAGAAGTGTTCATGTAAATATCAAGTTCATATTGTTAAATGTTGAGTGACATTCATTTCAGGGCTTTGTTTGCTTGGCAGGCACTGCTGTTGGCCATGGCAGTCATTCATAGGCACCTGCAATATACTATTGACCCACAACCACATTGCCTTCAAAAAACCAAAACCAAGCAAGTGTTCATGTAAATATCAAGTTCATATTGTTAAATGCTGAGTGACATTTATTTCAGGGGTTGCATTCTGATTTTGCAAGGTAATAAAAGCCAGCACTCCCTCCAGTATTTTTACACAACAGCACAATTACACAATTTTGTTCCAAACCACTACAGGCCAACCCTTTGCTTTGTTAAATATTGAGTTCTCAGTCACATAATGATAAATCTGGTATTAAAACTTAATGTTAAGCATCTTACACGAGACACAGAATGTAACAATTTCCAGAAATGTACATCCTGCTGTGTTTACCTGCTCCAAAGCCCACAAGAGCACGGGCAGTCAGCATGTAGTACTTGTTGTGGCCACGGGGCACGTGGACATAGGCATAGAGACAATTAGCAGCTACTGAAATTGCAGTGGAAATGACCAGAGGCTCTCTCCTGGGCCTGTGGTTGGACCAGAGGCCAAAGAGGGGAGAAGCAACCATTTGGCCAATGCTGTATGAAGCTATGATCCAGCCCAGGAAACTGGCATCTGCTGTTGGATCAATCTGCAGGAACACAAGGGTCAGATCTGAGAATGAGTACCTGGCACACCAAGGACTCTGCACTGTCATCTATCTCTGGGTAATAAACCTTGCATTGCTCACTCTCTCCAGCAATGCACCCAACCAATAAAACCCCCTTTGCTTCCTGGGAATGGCTCACTTGCAGCAAACTCCAGGAGATTTTGATGTTCTGGGCTAGAGACAGACCTTGAGCAGCATGGCAGCACCTTCCATGCCAGCAGCAAGGAGTCACTGTCTCTGCACATGCCTCAATCTGTCCTGATTTACTGCTTGTCACTCTCATTTTTTAAGATTTTCTGATGTTTGCATTCTTGTAGCAAACTTTCTCACACGCTTTTTGTGAATCACTTATTATTTTGCATTCTTTTCTAGAAGAAAAGGAATTTGATAAACTGTTAGTTTGTCCAGTGTCATTGGAGAGGTGGCACTTTCACCCACCAATCCACTGTCACTTTAAAAAATCTGTAAGTGTTAAATCAAAAAATAAGCTTCCCTTTTTTCACCTTAAAAACAACAGTGTGTGCATGTTGTGTTGTTTCATATCCTATAGCAACAGCTGGCAATGCATTTTCTTGTTTTCTGCAAGAATTCAGCATCAGCCTCACCTTCAGTGACACCTCTAGTCCCTGCCCAGGTTATACTCTCCCAAATTTGCATTTGAAAAGTTCCTTCTACAGTTCCAGGGGCACTGAAATCCTAGCACAGAGGTTTTAGGGACTTCTGAGCTGCTTTTAAGATCTAAGAGGTTTAAGATCTAAGATCTTAGATTTAAGATCTAAGACCTCCAAATAAACCATGGCTATCCCCTGTTAGGAATACCAAGATCTCTATGCAAAAACGTGATATCTACAGAGCAACTTCTACCTTCACTTTCCTCTTTTATTATTTTTTTTTCCAAAACACAGACAAATCTTGTCTACTAGGTTTTAATAACAAGACTTCTATTGATTTGCTCTCCAGGAAATCATGAGATTGGAAAACCAAACATTTCTGGATTATGATGTACCTTCACCAATTGTACCTTTATCAATTTTGCAAGAAATAATAAAAGCTGTCTAAGTGCATGGCAGAATAAAAGTCTCTTAAAGCCACACACCTCCCTCTACTTTTTCTTTTCCTAAATAAAATGCCAGGTTTTCTATTATCTACTTTCTGAGCAGGAGTTTTCTGTTCTTAATTATTTTAAAAAACACCCCATATTTACAAACCTTTTGGAGATAGGGCCACACAGACATAATTACAATAGAGAAACCTGTAACACAGTAAAAAAATGAAGCTATTTTATTTGCCATTTTTATCAGTAATTTTCTTTTCTGAAACAGTTATTACAACTCCATTATTCTGTATTATACCCCCTATAGAATAAACCTGTGCATTTCCTGCTTCTTTTAAGGAGTGCTAATTCCTCCTGTCAGGAGGAACTATCTTCAAAAGTTCATTTTATAGGTGCATACACACTAAACAAAAAGCCTCCTATGTTGTCCTCCCAGTGGAAAGAAAACAAGGTCCCCAAAGCAAAAAGAATTTCTTGATATACTGACATATCTGTATTCATTAGTCACAGAGATTTTAGCTAATAATAATAATAAATAAAAGAGTTACTGAAGTATCCTATCAACTTCAAGATAATTTCTAGGCCCACAGAAAATCATCAAAGGTCAAAAATCAATTCTTGTTTCTGGGGGGAGTTATTTAATCCTGCAATGGAGATGCAAAGGCCAGTAGGAGAAAACAAGTTTTGTTACATGTTTTGAAATAGACAGCATACACTCCCATAAAAATCTTACTCAAGAACTCCATGTTATTTCTGTTTTCATTGCCCAGAAGTTTCACTCTGGGTGATAAAAGTGCAATCTTTATTTTGTTGGGTTCTGAGCAATACCCTTACCTTGCCACTACCAAACTAGTCATAAGCCACACACTTATGTAATCCATCTCTTCGTGTAAAAGCAGTTTTATTACTTATCAAATATAACTTTCTGTTTGATTTGCTAAGATTCAGACATTCTCTTTTAAAGAATCAAACAATGCACCTTTTCTGAGGTTAGAACAGTGGCATCAAAGAAGCTCTCTAGCTGGAATTTTCAAACCCTGTTATTTTCAAACCAAAGTATATTAATTAAACAAGTAACACCAAATTCCACGTGTATTTACTCACCTACACTGCTGAGAAACATTGTCAGGTACATGATCCAGATGGATCTCCACCTGCTCTTATAATGCTCCTGTGATTCCACAACATCCCTGGTTTTCAAACAAAAAGCAAGAGGGAGAAAGAAATCATTATCAGATCCTCTTCTAGTTGCTCCCACATGACACTGCAAACATTTTTCACCAATCTCTCAATGCAATTGTGTACCTTGTTAAGGAGGAGTGGATTTCCACTCAGCAAAGACTATAAAGAATTTAATTTTTGCTGGAAAAATACTAGATTGACAAATCAAACAAAATAACAGAAATGCTATCACACACCAAATGTCACACAGAGAGATCTTGATCTAGGCAGGTCTTCAGTTCTGCAAACTCTGTATAGACACTTTGGAGTATAAAACCTTTAAAAAGTGGGTGTTAAACCCCTCACAGCTGTAACCTTATAAGAACCACAAACCTGAACAATCCTTAGATTTGACTAAAAGCTACAGCCAGACTGTTTTTATGATGAGAAAATAACAACATACAATGTAAAAGCTGTGTATAAAAGATACTGCTGTAGATTGCAAGGCCTGAAAAAAATTAAAACAGAAGTTACAAACTAAGTTACAAAGTAATGTTTATTCAGATGATGCAGACTCAGGTTATGAATACAGATGCCTAAACATAGTTGACAAACGCTGTTTATGCGAGTCGTACCTAAACTTAAATCTGCGATTTTAAATTCATGACACTTGTTTTGCTGTCAGAAGCGGGGGAAAACCCCCATGCGCCGAACAGCTGCCCACACACGACGGCTGCTATTAAACCCCCAGACTTCTGCCGTATATTAATCCCGCTGGGCGTTTTTTAGCAACTTCCCAAGGCAGTGCGTTTGCGTTTTCCCGCAGAGGGAAGCGGCCCCCGGGCCCGCTCCCACAGCCGGGCCCGGGGCGCTCCGGGACACGGGCTCCGAGCTCCGGAGCGCTGGGGACGGCGGCTGGGCCGGGACCCCGGCCGGGCAGCGCCCCCCGGGCCGGGCCGCCCGTGACGGGCGGGGAAGGACCCGGCACCCACGGGCGGCTCCTCGGTGCACCCGCAGCGCCCCTGCACAGCAGAACCAGCTCTTACCTGCTCTCCTCCTCCTCCTCCTCCTCATCCGCCGTGACCCCTGCGGACCCCAGCAGCGGCTCCCGCCCGTCGGGACGCGCCTCCGGAGCGGAGCCCGCGGCCGCCATGGCCCCGCAGCGCCGGGCCCCGCCCGCGGCCGCCTCACGCACGCCGCCAGGGGACGCCCGAACGCGAGCGCCATGGGCGCGTGAGCCGCGTCCCGTCCGTGCCGTCCCCGTCCCCGTCCCGCCCTTCGCCCTCCCCTCCTCCTCCTCCTCCTCCTCCTCTTCTTCTTCCTCCTCCAATTCCCGCTCCCGCCCTCCCATGTGGTGCCTCAGCAGCGGCAGCGCTTCGGGTGAGCAGCGGGTGACCTTCGCGGGCCGGGCCGGGCCGGGCTGGGGGAGCGGTGCCAGAGCGGCTCCCGCGGAGGGCGGGCAGGAGGGAGCTGCCCGAGCCGCTCCCCCTCACGGCATTGCCCGGCCCAGGGCGAGCTGAGGCGGGCGGGCGGAGGGGTGGCGGTGGCCGTGGCCGTGTCCTGCCTCCCGCCGCCCCTTCCTGCGGGGGTTGGGGCTGCGGATCGGGGGGATGGCGGAGGTTTGGGATCGCAGAGGTTTGGGGTCGGGGAATGGCGGAGGTTTGGGATCGCGGGGGATGGCGGAGGTTTGGGATCGGGGAATGGCAGAGGTTTGAGATCGCACCTGCCCCCTTGCAGTGCTCGGGTCACGCTGGCAGGGAGCTGCTCGCAGCCCTGCTTTAGGCCCCGTTGTTTATGCTCCGGCTCCTGCGTGCCCGTCCCGTTTTGTGGAGTTGTTGTGGGGTTTGTGTCCGCCTTGGCGTGACTTCTGTGTGATTTCTTTCATTCCTAAGCAGGCGTTTCTTCTATCAGAAAAGGAGCTGGCGTTAATTGTAAGGGAGGTTTTTTTAAATAGAGAGAGGGAGGGTAGGGAAGTTGGCAGCTCCGCCTTCTAAAACAGCCTCGGTGGTTTTTTCAGGTTGGCTTTTTCACATCCATGTATAGAATAGAAACTACACTGTGGGCCTTGTACTTTGCAGGGCTGATTTTCTTGTAACCGAAGCTCTTTGCACGGATAAAAACCAAGAGCTGACCTTTTTACGTGCTGGGTTTTGGATGAGTTTATGTGTCTGTTTCTATGTTTCTTCTTAGCGTGCTTTTGCATCTGCTGCGGTTTCCATTCACAGCTCACAGTTATGTAAAGCTTTCTGTGTTAACAGTATATTCATTCAAGATTCATGACACAGATCCTGTCTCTAGGGCCACACAGCTCCACAGCATCGGTAGCAGGTCACTGCTTCCAGCTGACCTGTCTCACCGTGGGATCGGGATGTGGCATGGGAGCTGTCAAGCGGAGGAAATCGAGCTGAATTCTGAAACTGCCCTTCCTGATTCTCTCATTCATTTCAAATCCTCACTGCTGAAATACTCCTGTTAGTGTGAAATTATAAAACTTCAGCCTCCAGCAGCTGGATTTGCCTTTCCTGGCACTAAAATTGTTTGTAATTGTCTTGCCATGCAGGCATGGATGAGCAGTGACTGGAGCATGTCCTGCCCTTTTGTTACAGAGATACAGTAGGGGCAATCCTCCCAAATTTTTTTATCTCACTGATATTTCTGAGAAGTTCTATGCAGCATACTACACATACTAGGAATATTTTTTTATTTGATTCAGTGTTTCCTGTACTCTTTCCAGTAGTGCTTTTATCTTGATTCTGATTAATTGAAATATCATGAGTTACTTCAGAGGCTCCATTCCATCAATGAAGCAGAGGACAGGATGAGAGAAAGCTTTTGCCTCAATCAATATTACATTTAAATATAATGCACTTGCCTAGAAAGTTGTTTTGGCACTCCCTTGGTGCAGCAGAGAGCTTGTCAGACCAGACTTTGGACTCAAAGCAAAATCTACATCTTCATGTTTTAAAATAAAGCATCCCCACTGTGACTTTCTGCTCATTTCATGAATTTGTTTTTATCCTGTAGTGATTGAACCATCCTAGAGCCATTGTGGCTTTCTAGCATGCTTGTTCTAAAATTCAAGTGCCTATCATTTCTCTTAATAGTAATTTATTCTAGGTTTTCTCTAGAAAGAGAGTTCTCCTTTTTATGCTGTGTATTGATTCTTAAATGCTCGCTTTCTAGAAGTGCAGAGGAATATTTTTGTTAATCTGATCACAATTTTGACTTGTTGTAGTCAAACAAGTTTATTTTTAAAAATGACCATATTGGAGTGTGGCAGAATAAATGCTGTTGGATGAAAATAAAATTTCAAAAACCCAGAAATTAAATTTCACTGTTTTGGAGTGTGATGAGCTTATGGAGTACATTTAGTATGGAGAGATCTGGAAATACTAGAAAATGCCTGAAGTGAACTCAGTAACTAAATTTGATTATTAAATCTGCTCTTTTCTTAGGTGCACACAGATCCTGGACTTTAACTGAGTAACCTGTATCCTGCTGACCAAGAAACCAGATTTAAATTCTTCTTTTTAGTTGTATTTGTTTTGGTTTTTTTTTTTCCTTCTTCCTTGGAAGAGCTCAGCAGTGGCTCCCTGTTCACTTCAGTAAGTATTACTTTGAAAATAATACTCAGCTTGCCTAAAATCTTGGTAGATTTAGCTCTGTTTGAGCTGGTGTGTTTCTAGAAAGAGAAATGGTCCTGGCAAGGATTTTGAGGGTATGATTTCTTCCCAGAAAGGAGTGGGAGGAGCATCAGTTTGATACGAAATATCAACATTGGAAAGGAACACATCAAATAAGGATTAGGATGTTTACCGCACCAAGGAAGGCAGGAGTACAAAAATGAACTTTGTCTGCAGCAGAAAGCTTCTTCTACTTCCCTCCTTCCTCTTCCTTGCAATCAATGAATAAAATCATGTGGATTTTAACTGCCTTGTTTTTACCTCTGCTTTTTCCCCAGATGACAGTGTGCTGCTAATGGGTGTAAGTAAATTAGATGTCTTGTACCGAAAGCTTCTCCTCACCAAACTGTTCATCAGAGGATGGGGAAAGCCAGAGGATCTGAAAAGGTGACTTGTTCAAAAGTAACAGCATCCATGAAATGTTACATTAAAGGAAAATAACCCAACCCTTGAAGTAGCAACAGTAATTGCTACCCTGTATTTAAAATAGCAAAAGTGTTGAAGTTGGTTCTGTTCCAGAAATCGTGTGTTTCTGTACCAAGGGAGTAACTGGATTTAAAAGAAGCCTGTAAAGGATTTGCAATTTTTTTTCTGTTTAATGAGGATCTTCTTGAGAGAATGTCTGTGTGTCCAACTAAGTTTTTACTGGTGTTTATCTGATGACATACTTGAAACAGCATCTCTGCAAGTGTTTTCCAAAAGCAAAACTTGACAAATTTTTGCAGAAGAATTGTTTCTGTTTAACATTAAAGTGGTTCTTGCTATCTTTCTGTAACTTCCTAATTAGTTTTAAAAGTGTAAGATTTAATCAGAAGTTTCTCTCCCAGCCCAAAGTAGCAAAGTCTTTCTTTTTAGTTGGCTTTAATAAGAAAAAATGGAAGTATCTCTTAATTTTTTTAAGCATTTGATTATTTTTATTAATTACTATTGAGATAAAGTTGAGAAGTTGTATTTCTTAAGTATATAAAGTTGAGCATTTGTATTTCTTGAATATAAAAATGAAGTGACAGTATATATAGTCTGCATTGTGCAGTGTTTAGATAAGAAATTATAAACCTGCATTTAATAAGCTCACTTTTATGTATATGAAAATCAATAAAGAAACATTTGAAAACTACTGAAATAAAATTTTGTGCGCTGGATAGCAGTGGAGTTTTATGGGAGCTTGTTTTTTTTTTTTTTTTTGTTTTGTTTTTAAGTCCATGTGCAAGATCTGATGTGGAAATGGCACTTGGATTGCTTTGTGTGTCTCTTCAGTTGATATTTCTCTTAAATAGCAGACTTGAATCTTAGGTGGAAACTGGCTTTGGTTGGAATAACCAAAACCAGTGAGGTTTGTTTTGGTTGCAGCATTTCTGTGTTCTATCCCATGTGTGGATCCAAAATGCTTTCATGTTATCAACCCCTCTCTTTTGAAGACCTTTGGGTTCCTGGTGAGACACAGGGAAGTTGCAGTGCCCCATCTCCATCTCCCTGCAGTCCAGATGTGTCTCTATGCAGGGAGCCTCTGCCTGATGCTGCTGCTCCCCAGTTTAAGGCCTGGAGGGTGATCACACCCACACCAAACAGCAACAGGGCAGTGTTGCTGGTGGCAGCAGTGATATCAGCTACAGTTCCTTCTTCATCCAGGGGAAACCCCTCTCCCAGCAGATCAAAAGTGAGGAGGAAGCAAGAGGCAAGCTGGTCTGAAAAGAGGAAGAGATTTGTTCTATTTTGCCCTGACTGGGAGGATGATGATGCTGTTCCCCAGCAGCCTGGCTTCACCTGGATGAAGGAGGAAGAATGCTGTGTTCTCCTGACTCCTCCCACTGCCTCATGGGAGGAGGGGTTTTATTTTGGTTTGTTAGCCCATCACTGTGATGGTGAGTGATCATTATTCAGTCTTAGCCAAGGCTGAGTGACAGACTGCTCTGCCTAATCTGAAATTTTGTGTGCACACCCTTGAGGTGGTGAATGGTAATATCCAAACTCTTTGTCTTCAACTCATTAGCAAGGGTTGAAATTCCTCAGCAGGGGTGAGATTTAGCCTTCAGTATGCACCTAACTCTAGAAAAAAAGACATAAACGCAGTATTTTTAGAAGTTTTATTGTCAAACAAAGCATCTCTTCATTTAGCTTGCCCTCCACACTCACATCTCACATCCTTACCCTTGCTTGCTCAGAAATACTTCATGCACTTGCTGTTTTCCATAAGAAAAGCTAAGGATAAAAAGTAGAGCTATGTTTTGTGTGCTGATAAACTGGATTTTCTTTCCATTCTTTGGGTTTTCTGTGGTGTTGGGGAGGTGAAGAGGTCATTTCTCTGTACTTTTCACTCAGATTGTCAGGTAAAGTGTGTATTTATGATCATAGGAATGAGCAAGTCATGGAGTATTTAAGGTTGAAGGGGCCAATGTGAGGGCACCAAGTCAAAATCCCTGTTCAAAACCAAGCTGACTTTGCTTCTTCAAGTCTCTTGGCACTTCCTCCCTTGAGGATGAAGATCATTTCTAGTTTCCCTGCGTTATTTTTTCATGTGCTTAACTGTGAAAGCAATCTTTCACTTTGCTCCAGGAGGTATTTCTTACACTGCAGCACACAGCCATTGCCTCTTGAATGTTCATGTCCTTCAGTACTCTTGTCCTCTCACTGTCTACCTCTGAGAAGGGTTTTGTTTTATGTACTCTGTGTGGCTCTGCAGCCCATTTAACCAGCAGAAGAAAGCAACCAGATTTGCCTCTTAGTTTTCTGTTTCCCAGCAAGGTTCCTGAGACTTTTTTTAACTTAAAAGCATCCTGTGGTGGCCTGATCAATCTGTAAATGCAATGCTGGCTTCAGAAGTTTTCTTTGTTTGTGGCTTACTTTAGCTCCTGAAATTTTATATAAATATGTCTCTTCTTTTTTTTTAGATTAAAAGTTGAATCTTCTCTACTTGTTTCCTTTCAACAGAATATTTGAATTCAGAAAGATTATTGGAAACAGGGAAAAATGCCAGAAGCTGGTTTCCAAAGATTACCCAGTGTTCATTGACAAGGTACTTCAAAGCAAGAGATGATGTGATTTAACCACATTTATTTTCCTAAGGGTATATAAAGGTGAAATAACTTGAAGCTTAACACCAGGCTGCTAGAAGAGAGTGGAAGGAAATAGAGACTAAAGCAGTGCCTGCACAGATACTTTTTTTCCCCACAATAGTTGGGGAGTGAGATGTCAAACGTTAAAACTCAAAAAGTGTTCAAAACTTAGTCTGTGTTATCAAATGTATTTAAAATGGGGCAGCATTACACCTTTGTTTGATTCCTGTAAAAGGTTATTTAATAATAGCAAAGTTGAAAACAAGTGTTTTGGCCCTGTTGATAACAAATTTTTAGGAGCAGGCCTCAGCTTTTGGGTTTTCTAAGCAAGTTTTTTATGCTATAACAAATCCTACTTTAGGGAATTTGCTTTCAGAGCAAGTTAAAGACTGACAGAATATTTATTGCTATTGTCCCATTGTTTCTGCAGGTTGAGGGGCAATCAGACTGTAAAATCCTTGAGGGGCACTTCATTTCCCCCTTGGCTCATTGTGTCCCAGGTATCCTGCCAGTGGAATCTCTTGTAGCAAGGTAAGAGAAACCAAGAGGTGGCTCTGAAATTAGTGCTGCAGGGAAATAATGGTCTGTAAGTGGTTTTATTGTGCAGCTAATTGATTGCAATGCAAACAATCTGTAAAATAAATCTTATACATGTGATAGTTTAATCTATGTATTAAAAAAAATATATCTACTAGCAAAATATTACTTTTTTCGTTTGGTTTTGGTTGTTTTGTTGTTTTTGGTTTTTTTTTTTTTTTTTAGTGTAGAAATCATATTGCACAAAGCTGTGGAATACCCTGAGTTTTTTGAATTACTGGTTTGGGTTTTGCAAATGAGGGGGATGCTGGAAATGAGGAACAGTAATTATTGTTTTATATGTAGCAGGAGAAGCTGTTTATATCAAAGCATATCGTGTTGTATTTGAAGGAGCCTTTCCAGCTTTCCATTTCCATTGAATACAAAAATTTTGTATGTGTGATAAAGTAACAAGCTTATTGTATTGTAGCCAGAGAATCTGGTTCCTTTCTTACTTGGCATACAAACAAAAGAAAGTGAAAAAAAAAGCATTCTTACAGAAAACTGGAGGCTCCCTAACAGTGCTGGTTTCACACTAACACTTCTTTGCAGATGAGGAGTGGGTTTGCAAATGGAGCAGAATTTCTGTTTGCTTTTAGTTTGGTGCTGAACTGTGATGATGAATCTCTTTTCCCAGACTTTATTTGTTCCATAACATAAACATAAAAGTTGAGTTGAAATGTAAACATCGAGCTGATACTGACATTGGAAATTTTGTCAGTAATTCTGGTTGGTTTTTGTATGTGTGCTTAAGCATGGAACATTAAGGAATGTGAGAAAAATCTTGATTCAAGAAATCAAGACATCAGTTCTGTTCTAGTTAGAGAAAGAAACTGTTAACATTACCAAACTAATCAGTGCCACAATGCAATATGCTCATTGTTTCCTTCTCTCTGCTCTCTTGTGCTTTTTAGCCAAGTTATGATAATTGTTACTTTGACCAGAATTGTGACAGTTTGGAAAGTTGTACAAATTCCCCTCAAGATGGGAAGAATGTATTTCCTGAAGTGTAGCTAACAGTGCTCCATCTTGTGGGGAAAACAGTGGTGGCTCAGAAGGGATTTTTTTTTTTCAGTAGTTTAAATTGTAAATAAGTAGCAGCAGAAGACATTAATTGATTGTTGTTGAGTGTATAGAATAATTTCATGGTTTGTATGCTGGGGTTTTGATAATTTTTTTATTTATTGCTCATCTTAATCTTCAATTTCAGCTGTTGTGCCTTCAGGAGAAAAATAGCAATGATGCCTAGGAGAGCTGGACATGCTTGTTTAGGCTGCTCTTTATCTGAAGTTGCATTTCTCCACTCTGCAAAGTTTAAATTGTGATGATGAGGTAGTAGTCTTTTTTAGGAACATGATCTTTCCTCTTGGCTCCTTTTCTTGTTTGGCCTTTCTTCTGTCCTACTTTCAGATTCCTTTGTTTGCTGAATGTGTTCATGAAAAATGCTGTTGCTGAATTGCTGGCAGTTTGCCTGCGTGGGTTACAATTACTTCTGCTGTTTTGGTTTTGCTTTTTAATTAATTTCTCTTGATGCAGCTTGTTAATAAAGATTCTTACTCTGCTAAAATAGATGTTTTTTCTCACAGATTTCAGTTCATCATACCCAGAAGATGGAATGGCAAGCACAGACCCGTGTGCATTCATTTAGCAGGCACTGGAGACCATGTGAGTGTATAAAATGTACAATTAATTGTTATTGAGACATGAAATGATAAATTTTGCCTTATCTATGTTGTTTGTGCATCTTGTCTCCAGCACTTCTGGAGGAGACGCACGTTAATGGCACGGCCAATGATCAAAGAAGCCTCCATGGCTTCCCTGCTGCTAGAAAATCCTTACTATATCCTTTTGTGGAAAAAATGTCCCCTCTGGAAGCTAGAAGAGTTACCACACTCATAAAATATCAACTTTTTGGTACCCAGTGGGTAGAAGCTAGGAAAGTATGGCCATTATGTGAAGCACAATTCTATGGTGCCTCAGGTGTCTTGTGAGAAACTTGCTGTTACCACTTCAGATTTGGGTGAGTTTTCTTAAAAACAAGCAAGTTTTGTTCTGTCATCTTGTACAGCAATATTATTCTGTTTCATTAAATAGGATCTCAAGTTACACTTTTTTCCTACCCATACATCTGGCAGCAGTAAAATGTTGCAAACTGCATCATTGAAATAGATTGAATTTATTGCAGTGACAATTAAACAATGGGAGTTTAAATTACAAATTTCAATAATTTCATGCCATTTATCCATATTATTTAAAACCTTTTTTACTTTCTTTAACTGGAATCTTTTACATGGCTGTAGAAAACCCAAGGATCAATTGTAAGTATTCCTGTTACATTTATGGATACCATGTGTTTAAAATGCTGCTTTTCTTTTCTTCTCTTTTGAGCCAATAGTTGTTTAAACTTTGATGGCTTATTAAGAAAAAAACATTTCAAAAACCACTTGTAGCCTGCCTATGTGAAATTGGAAGTTGTCTGCTCTTTGCTAAACTGCTTTGGGTGTTGTGTTAGGAGATCTCAGGGATCAGGGAAGTTTGCACAAGAGGCACTTGCAGTATGAGTGAGATGCAAACATCTTGTGTGAGTAAAAGCCAGGGCCATTTTATATTCCTGACTCACAACTGCAGTACAAGTGCTGCTGTTCTATTTCAGTCAGCTCTGAATAATCTTTGCTCACATAGCATATTTCCATTATCATTTACATAATAAATGATAATTGCCACGATTTTGCTTTTCCAAGACCTTTTAGCAATTTGCAGGCATATAAACCTGGTGTTGATTGGTTGTTAGTCAGGACACTATGCAATATTCAGTATTTTACAGGGTTTATTTCTTCAGTCAGTTTCTTAAATTGGAACTGGCAATTGGCTGTTCTTGGTTTTTTTAGTTTTTACATTTTTCAAACCACAGATTTATTATCAGAATTCAGCAGGATGTGTGTCCGAGGCAAAGCTTCCCAAATATCTCCCAATATTTCTGAAAGTCCAAACATGAGTTGGTGTTTTAATCCTTTTTAATCCTAACTCAGACATTTAACATGACTAGAAGACATGTTAGAAGACAGAGAAGGTGTTTTTTTGTTAGATTATGGGACAATGACAGGAGAAAGCTTGTGCTGGAATGCATCCATTGATAGGTTAATTTCCAGTACTGGGGACTCTAATGCCCCAGTGGGTGATTGTCACTCTCCAATCCAGGGTCACACAGCCCCAGTGTAACAGGTGACAGTGCTCAGTAAATACAGCAGCTGCAGAGGGCTGAGCAATCTCACTGAGCTGTAGCAGAGAAAACATTTCTGTGCTAGAAAATCCTTACTATATCCTTTTGTGGAAAAAATGTCTTCTCTGGAAGCTAGAAGAGTTACCACACTCATAAAATATCCACTTTTTGGTACCCAGTGGGTAGAAGCTAGGAAAGTATGGCCATTATGTGAAGCACAATTCTATGGTGCCTCACATGGTCTCCAGTGCCTGCTAAATGAATGCACACGGGTCTGTGCTTGCCATTCCATCTTCTGGGTATGATGAACTGAAATCTGTGAGAAAAAACATCTATTTTAGCAGAGTAAGAATCTTTATTAACAAGCTGCATCAAGAGAAATTAATTAAAAAGCAAAACCAAAACACAGAAATGAGCTGTAGCTGCTCTGCAGTAGCTCTGCTCATTTCTGTGTCACTTCACAGTGAGCTTTGTCCTTGTGCTTCAGAGTGTCGCAAATGTGATGCTGGCACGCTGGCAGGAGAGGCCAGGAGTCCTTTGTAACCTGGCTGTGGTACTGAAAATCCTCAGCCCCACTCCCCAAGTTAGAGGTCTGTTATTTTTAGAGTCCTCCTGATGGCTCAGCCAAATAGATTTCTACTTGTTTTGTGTCTTCTGTGTTTTAGTGCTTTGCAGAATTCTCAATACCGTGACAAACTTCCCACTTTACAGTTTCAGTCTTACAGTGACACTGATGAGTGCTTCCAAAGCTGACATTCTGATTGCTCTTCAAATGTTGTGTGCAATTTTTCAATGGTGTAAAACAGGTAAATAAGAAAAAAAAATAAATCCTTGTTTCTGCAAACAAGCTAGTGTATGCCTAGGACTGTATCACTTTGATTCTATTTCTAAAATATCTGTTACAACTTTACAGGACAGAATATTGCTGCTAGTGAGGTGCTGATCTTGGTAATTGTTTCCAAAAGACAAAGCTGTCAGTGATATTACATTAAAAGGATAGGTGTCTATCTCTAGTCCTCATTTAGACAAAAAAATTACAAGTGTCAGAAAATCTGGGCTTGCTTTTTCCTCCTGTTGAATCAACAGGAGTTCAGCTCCCAAATTCTCTGAGATTGTGCTGAAGCTGTGTATAAAATCTGTATAGAATGATAAGAACTGTCAGAGTCTAATCTTAGAAAATAAACCCTCTCTTTTCCTTTTCTGGGGAGAAAAGACGGTCATGTTTAAAAAATGTCTCGGACCTGTTTGTGATGGGAGGAGCTCTAATTCTAGAATCGGCAGCTCTTTTGCACTGGCTAGAGAGAGAAGGCTATGGACCCCTAGGGATGACTGGAATATCCATGGGAGGACATGTAAGCTTTTATATCTCCTGTTCAGTAATTTTTTCTTTTAACTTCTCATTTGATCGTGTAGCATACGGAAATAATTTGTTTTGCAGCGTTGATCTGAGAAGTGCTTTAAAATAAACACTTGGAGTCATGAGAAACAAATTGTTGGCAATTCTCCTGTTCTGTGGTGCTGAATTAGTATAATCCTTAATATGTACTGACAAATCATAAAGCCCTTTGTCAGCCATCTCCCAGCTGGCTTAATAAGAATATAAACTTCTCACATAATTGTTTTTTTTTTCCACGAGGGTGGGGGGCAGAAATGTTTGCTGAAAGAAAGTCTGCACTGATCGATTGCTAATTCTCCCTCTTTTCCTCCTTTCTTCTTGCTTAAACCTTCGTGTTTGAATGCATTGTGTGAAATGCCCCCTCTTTGTAGGCACGTTGTAATTGAGGTGATTTTTGGTGTCAGTGATCATTGGTACTGATCAGGGATTTCTGTGGTCAGGTGGATAACATTTTCTGTGTGACACTGTGCATGCTCAGACTAAACCAGCAGTGGATCACTGAGGAAAGAATAATGCACAGTTAAAATGTTACTGCTTGTGTCCCTGCAGATTCTCACAGCTCTGTGAGACACAGGGGCAAAGCTGATTGAAACAACATACCTTTCTTTGTTTGTTAGGGGCTCAGTAAATAATGGTAATGGTAGAGTTTCCCAAAAGGAAAATATTCCCCTAAAGCACAGTTTTATAACTGTAAATGTCATCAATGTACAGAGCACCTTTGGTTTACATCAACATCTCCCTGCTGAATCAGAAAATTCTGTGAAATAAGTGATATTTGATGTTGATCCTCTACAGAGTGTGTTTTACAATGGAAGGTTGTAAGCATTGATTCAGTTCCACTAAAGGGAAGAGACTTCCGCTGGAGAGAATCAGAACATAGATATGTGTGGTTCTTGTAACTTTTTATTACTAAAAATAATCAGAATAGAATTAGAGTTAGAATAGAATAGAATCAGTTACATAAATCCACTTATTGGAACATCTAGAACAGACACGAGGTGTTTCATATTAATAAAATAAAATTTGTCAAGAACATATATGGGGAAGTTTTGTACATTGAACTTGATTTGGCTTCTTCTGGGATAAACAGAATAGTCATAAAAATATGTTCTGAGAACTAATGCAAAAGTAAGTAATAATAAGTAATAATTTAAAAAAAGAAATATTTCAAACTTAAAGGACATAAAAAGAGTGCTCTTAACATGTTGAATTACTTCTCCTTCAAATTTTGTTTCCTGCATACAGATTTTGAAAGTAAAGAATTTTAAATAGTCCTTCTCATAGATTGCCTTTTTTTTGCCTTGAAATAAACTTGCAAGAGCTTGGTAGGAGAGCTTTATAGAAGTTTTTTTATGGTTTTAAACAAGTAATAGCTTGTATTAGTTTTTATAATTATAATGATAATTAGTGGATTACAAATATAATTAATTGAATTTTAATTGTAATAAATGGAATATTTAGTAAATATTCCATTGGGAATTCTTATAACCAAATGATATTCAGCCTTGAAATGAGTCCTTTCCAGAGCAACATTTATTTTTTAAAATATCATTGGACAGTAGAAAGTAACTTCTAAACAGGTGAAAGTATATCCAGCTGCCACAGTCCTTAACTCTTTGGCACCACATGTTTCATGAATACCATGTCAACAAAGAAATTGAAGGTGAGAAATTGAAGATGAGAGATTTAATATTGTGAATTCAATATTAAAATGTGTAATAAGTGCCTTTGATTCTAGATGGCTTCCCTGGCAGTGACAAACTGGCCCAAACCATTGCCATTGATCCCATGTCTTTCCTGGTCAACAGCCTCTGCAGTCTTCACTACGGTAATTAACACATGACAAAATGCATTTTTTGTTAATATGTTAGATTGTAATCAGAAATGTAAATTTAAATATTTGGGCTGGCCGCAAGGGAGGTGGGATTCCGTGTCTTGTGTTATAATATGTGCTTGTGCTTTGATTGCAATAGTTTCTGAGGGCTGTCTGGGAGCAGAATTGCACTGAAAAAATCAGGACAGGACCAGCTGAATTTCCTGCCTGTATCATTATTTTAGAGTGACCTCTGGGTTTTACTTGTAATAATTTACTTGAATGTTTCTGTTTTTCATCTCAGGGTGTGCTGAGTAAGGCAGTGAACTGGAGAGAGCTGGAGAAACAGTATTTCACACAAACTGTGTATGAAGAGGAAATCATTCAAATGCTTGAATATTGTGGAGTAAGTATGGTTTATTTTACCCAGCTGCTAATATTTACACGGGCAAATCTAGCAAATAATGCAACTTCTTTTTACTTCCACTAAAAGCAGACAGTTCTTAGCTAGAACATACTGGCATGTTGTTTCTTTATGCTTTGATGAATTTAGTCTTTGAAGGAAAAACTTGAAAAACAAAACTAATATTTTGCTTGTATAACGAGTTTAAAGTGTAGCCCTTGCTACAAGCTTTTCCTTTGATCACAGTGTAATCTGCAACATGAAATATGTTCTATCAAAATTCTGATAAATGCCTTTTTTTTTCTTTTTCCCCTAAGATTCTTGCCTTTGTCATAGTTCTTTTTCTAATACCCTACAGCAGCAGAAGAGGAGCAGATAGTTGTTACTTGGGCTCTTGCCATTTTTAAGTCAAATGCACTCCACCAACACTGATGGAGAAGACAAGATGAAAAGAAGAAATGTTTTTCAAGATGTTCAGCTTGTGTCACTCTAGTATTTAGAGACTGTCAATTTTTCAGTCTTAAACATAAGATTAGACCTGGTTGCATATGTTAATTTTTCTATAATTAATATTATTAGGTCATTTAAGCTTAAATGACTGCAATTACAAATTCAGAGTTTAATATAGAAAGAAAAACAATTGTTTATATCACAAACTTCTGTATATGCAAGTACCTCCTGCAGTCTTTTAAACTGACAGAAATGTAGAATGGAATTATCAAGAGGTTATGATGATCAGGATTTAATTGAATGACCTGCAAGCTGAAAATAGAAGTGAGGAGTGCTAGTAGTGTCTTTTTAAAGTTTTAAAAAAAATTTTAAATTATGACCTCATCTTAAAAATAAAATTACCAACTGATTTAAGGAAGAAGCCCTTAACTGTTGTCTTTGTTTAGACGGATTCTTTCAAGATGGGCCAAGACTTTGTGAAGAACTTCCCTGACAGTGTGGACAGTCTGGCAGACATGGACATGACTTCCAGAATATTCAGCTTTGAGTCCTTGAATGACACAGTATCTAAGGAATCTGTTCCCAGCTTTGCCACAAATAGAAGTGCTCTAAGTGCCTCTTCAGAAGGACTCTTAATGCAAGATGCTCCTAAAATGCAGTGCATAAATCAAACCTTTTCCACCAGTAGCAGTAGCAATAAAAACTTCACCAGCCCACAAGGACACAGGGTAAACACAAGGAGAAGGAGTGACACTTTACAGAGAGAATCCTTAATGTTCATGAAGGGAGTCATGGATGAATGTACCCACGTAGCAAACTTCCCAGGTATGTATCTCTTTGTTTCAGTGTGGAAAGCTGAATAAAATACACTAGGGAGGAAGGCATTTTCTTGAGTGTAAACCTGATGGCATCTTTGCTGACATATGGAAATATTGTGAGCATTATTCTGTAGTGTCTATTTACTACTCCATTTCCTAATTGTTTGTCTGTTCCTTCTTGATGGCCAGCTAATGAAAAAGTTAATTAAATAATTGCCTCTCAGTATCTTTGCACGTTTTTCTCCTCTTCCTTGCAGTGGCTTTTTTCAGATATGAATTAGTGCAAATTTGTATTATCTAAAGGAAGAAAACACCTGTGTGATGTGAGTAATACCTAGGAGTAATAAATTTTCATTAATAAGGTTTTTCAAGCAGAAATCTCACCCTGACTTAGGATAGAAAGCAGCCTGCATAACTGAGCCCCAAGTTTGAATGATAAAAACATTTTGGGGGTCCTTCTGCAGGCTGCTGAATGTTTCCCAGGACAGGCACAGCATACAGGGGGAGCTGTAGTCCAGCTTTCCTTGGCCAAACCCTTTGCAGCAATGCAAACAAGTGATTGCTCCTAGAGCCTCCTTAAAAGGTTCTGCCGGAGTGGGGGCTCAGAACTCCTTTTGTGGTTTGGCTCTGCATGAACCTGATGCTGAAGGCATCTCCTACAACGTGCTTTCACTTCAGACACAGCTGTATTTTAGTGTCAAAGCTTTCTTGGTGCTGAGCCCCTGTGCCACCTCATTTCTTCATCCTGGCGTTCTGTACTCCATTGTACAAGTGTTTAGATGTAAATAAGTGTTCCAAATAAATAAAAGGGAACACAAAATAAAAGGAAGCTACACCAGTGTAGATTCTTTCACTGCTAGCCAGAGATGTTTTGTGATGAATACCAGTGAAGTGCTTTCCTTAAAGCTTTTAAAGTTATTTCAGTAGACAGAAAAAGCCCTGTACGTTTTATTCCATGTGCAGACTTTCTTGTTTATCTAGACTTGCCCAGGTGTCACTTAGCTAAGCACTGACCTTGCTGGGAACTAAAAAGGATCTGTGACCCTGATGCACTTGTCAGTGATGGGGTCTATTGTGTCAGTAGTCTGCCAGGTTTTGTCATTCTCTGGGAGACTTTGCTTTCCCTGCCAGGGTATCCTTGGAGCTTCAGAAAATCTGCCTAATGCTCAGATTTCATGGAAAATTGAATGGAAGACTTGAATTTATCTTAGCTTTGCATATTCTCTATATATGATTTAGTATGAAAGAAGGAAGGGTTTGAATTATTTGTGATACCCCACTGCCAGACATCTTGGCTGGTCTTTAACTTATCACATATTTTCTTTAACTTAACCCTTTAACTTATCACATATTTTCTTTTTGAAGGAGAAATGTTCTGTGTTCAACATAATTTTGGTGTTATTTTTCTCAACATCATCCTGCTAGTAATCTGATTGGTGCAGTTCTGCTTATGAGTAATAAATACGTATAACAAAATGTTGGGATTTTTATATTGCAAGTAAACCATGTAGGAACCAGAAAAGAAAGTGAACATGGGCTGTACTTTCTGACCTCTTGGATGAAAAGTTGTCTTTTTTCCTCCTTGAGGGGAAAAAATATATGAAACTTCTACTCTGTTGAATTCCATAGTTCTTTTTGCCAATAAAAAGGGATCTCAAAGAACTGACATGAATGCTCTAGAGTTTTGTTGATAAGAGGAAAGAGAATTCTCCTGTCAACTTCACAAGTCTTGGAGGAATTTCTGCTCTAGGGGTGGGAAGGATAAGGGTTTGTTTGTTTTTCCATTGATGGCCTCACCACTGTAACATCAAAAACCAGATAAATTCTGCCGGAGACTTTACAACATGTAATTTTATTAAAGCTTCAAATAATTGAATTTTTTGTGAAAACAGTATTCAGACCACAGAAATCTCAGCTGTGTTTCTATTTCTTAGCCCAGATGAATTCAGTTGTGCTTTGTTGTCCCTTAGTTCCAGTTGACCCAAGTTTGATCATAGTGGTCCAAGCCAAGGAGGACGCGTACATCCCTCGCACCGGCGTGCGCAGCCTGCAGGAGATCTGGCCAGGCTGTGAAATCAGGTATCTGGATGGAGGTCATGTCAGTGCCTACCTCTTCAAACAAGGACTCTTCAGGTGAGGTGAACAGAAAGGGTTTAAATTAAATTTTAGATTTCATCAAAATTCAATAGGGCTTGCATGAATTTGTGCTTTAGCAATATCAAGCTTTGATTTTCTAGAGACAGTTATGTAGATCAGTTTTGTGAGGGCAGTTCTGGCCAGGAGATCTGGCCAGGCTGAGAAATCAGGTATCTGGATGGAGGTCATGTCAGTGCCTACCTCTTCAAACAAGGACTCTTCAGGTGAGGTGAACAGAAAAGGTTAAAATTAAATTTTAGATTTCATCAAAATTCAATAAGTAGTACTTGCATGAATTTGTGCCTTAGAAATATTAAGCTTTGATTTTTCTAGACAGTTGTGTAAATCAGTTTTATGAGGGCAGTTCTGTAGTTTTCAAAAAGTTAAATACTTGCGCTGGTAATTTTAAAATACAAGGGATTAGGAAGACTGTACACATAATTTAGGAAGTCTAAGCAAGAACAAAAAGAATAGCACTATATTAGGTCAATGTATGCTAACCAGTCATTTATTGCTATTTAAAACTTCAGCCTCACTTTTATGACAGTTGCTCAAAAATTTCAAGCTGTGCATGTCTATGATGTGTTTGAGTAGAAAACTCCTAATTCATCTACATTTCCACTTGCATTGAAGTTGGAAAATAGTCCCACTCATTCCTGAAACACAAATATATTACTAGACTGAAGTGAGAGAACCTAGAAATAAAGGAAAGAGAATTCATCTACATTTCCAGTTGCATTGAAGTTGGAAAATAGTCCCACTCATTCCTGAAACACAAATATATTACTAGACTGAAGTGAGAGAACCTAGAAATAAGGGAAGGAGAAAATACCACCTGATACCACATTTTTACTGAGCACTGTTTTGAAGTTGTGATGATAGCTTTGTAGACATATTTGTAAATATATGGAAAATGCCACTAATATCTGCCTTTTCCCAGATCATACAAATTCTGTTCTCTTTTCCTGTTTCAGACAAGCAATTTACGACGCATTTGACCGCTTCCTCCAGAAATACACCATGTGATCTTTCTAATGCATTCAGACTGATCTCATTTGTAATTCAGCTCACTGGAAGTCATGTTTGGAAAACGAGCCTCTTGTAGTGTTGAGCAGATGGTCACTGACTGTTGTAGGTAACAATTACCAGAAGTGGTGAAGCACCAGCATTGCTTTCATTACAACCCAGTGCCATTCTGACACAGCTGCTTCGGTGTTACCTGTGAAAAAACAGCAGCAGCTTTTGTCAGTGCATGGATGGTTCATGTACTCCATGTCTAATCAGGTGGTGTGTTCCTTCAATTCTGAATAAATTCTGAATTCTGTGTCAATAGAAAACGAACCAAGTAAGTGTTGGAAGGATGTAAAATGCGTTTGGTGCAGTTTTGGTTTGTTCCAGATACCTCGGTTACCTCTCGCTTCCTCATGGCCTTGCTGTTCCTGTTGTGTTGTACCGTGGCTTTGCCAGCACTCAGCCTTTTGTGCTTGTCACGGCTTTTCTCTTCAATTATGAATTGAAAATGAGCCTCAGCAGAAGGCTCAGCACCACATCTTGCAAAGAGAGACTTTTCCTTGGATAGTCAAAGTGAGAGAGAGATGTTTTCATTCAATACGTCTGTGAAGTTTTCCTGCCACTGAATCAAACCGTGCCATTACAGAAGGATCATGTAGCAATTCATCAACAAAAAACTGGAATAAGTGAAAATCAAGTGTCTGGTAATTAATTGTTTACATTAATTCAGTTGGATAACATAAGCTTTCAGGTTTATTTTCTTTTTTTTTGGATTGATAGATGAAATAGAAATATCATTTTACTTTCTAAGCAGTTAAATTGACAGCAGATTATATGGTGCTATAAAGACCTGTTGGAAATACTTCAACAGATGTCCTTTCTAAAGTGCACTCAGTGCTGATATGCAAAATACACTTGCACTGTATAATTTAAAAGAAATGTGAGACTAAAGGTTATTGAAACAGTTAGGTTTGCTCCTTATTTTTCAACACTTGTCTAATTTAATTGGATGGAAAATAAAGAAATTTGGATTTTGAACACATTTAAGAAAATCCAAAGTCTGTTGTTTCCTCTTTTGGGATCAAAAATGCCAACAAATTACAGCAGAATAAAAGGTTGTCATGTACCAACTGTGTGGGTATCTCTCCACATCTTTTTTTTTTTTTTTTTTTTTTTGTGGTAATCTCCTATGACATTCTTTTAAAACCAATCTGCAGAGAAATTGAAAACTGAAACACTTCAGTATTTAGAACAGTTACAACCTGGATTATTCTGAAACAAACAGAAAAATGCAGCCATTTCTCAGGATATGTGACTTCTGCACCTTTCCAATCAAGCACTTTTCATCTCCATGGTTACTGTAAAGGTTTTTGGTAGGCAGAGTATGGAGCAAACAAAGCTCAGTTTATATATTCTCTTGGATTTTAGTCAGGTAGATAAGACTGGTAATCACTGTTCATTTGAAAATCAGGTGTCTTCAGATAAAACTGAAGAGAAACAATTCTGAATAACCCAAATGATGTAACATACAAATTTACTGAAAATACAGAAGAGATTCTAGTCTGTTGGAAGTTAAATTGCTTCTTTCAAGTGGTTTTTCATTATTTCTTTGGACAGTGTTGGTTTTGTATATGGGGAGCAAGTGTGAAGTGACTAGCACATTTAAACACCAAACATTTGAAATTTTGTTTGACATTAAATATTAGTAAGCTTACAAATTTAAAATTGAGTCTTGACTAAAAGATTCACAGGGTTTACAAGCATATTCATCAACTGAGAGTGATTTACCAGAGCACTGTCTGCTGTTCAGCAGCTTTTGGAGCTCTGACTTCTTAAATGTAATTGTGTGCTTTGTGTCCAGCTTCTGTTGCAGCTATGAGAAAGGGAGATAACTGATGGCAAGGGAAAAGGCTTGAATAAATGCAAGAGAGAAAAGACAGATTTTGTAAATGCCAGGAGTAAGCACAAAAAAAAATCAACTCTGCTACAAAGTATAACATGCCAAAGTCAATATTTTCAAAGCGCACAATACTGGGAATTACACAAGTGATGGGAACTCTGCATCCTGAGGTTAGTGTCCCAATGCTATTACTAACAAGGTTTAACCCACCAAAAGGGCACAGAGGGAGGTTTAGGATAATGCCATCCTGCTGTGAGAGTGTCTTTGGGGGCAAATGCTACTCCTGCTTCTGACAGTGTCTTTTGGGACAAGCACTGAAAGACAGCTTTCTGACAAGAGTAAGGAATTGCACTTTGTAACTGAAGTTGTGTTGCCAAATATGAAAGCCCAGTAAGCATTATTTAAGGAATTTCTCAGGTTAGAATAACAAAAAAAAAGGAAAAATTAGCTCAGTGGTTTATTTCTGCTGCTTATCAGGCAAAGGGAGATGGTCTGAGAATGGGGGAATCTTGCTGTGTATGTGTTTTTAACCCTTGGAAAATCGACTTTTTAAATCATATTTTAAGATTAAATCCTAAGAAAGTATAAATAATCCATTTTGATGTTAAATGAGAACATGGTTTTAATCCGGGAGTTGCATGAGAGAAATATTGTAATAAGGTTTCTTCTGTGTAACAGGTAAACCATTCTGTATGTCTTAAATTTATTGTAAAACTGGCCTTGGTAATTTTTTGGTTTGAATTTTTTTCAATAAAAGTCCTAAAAACATTTAGGTGTGGGGGGGTTTTTGTTCTCTCTTGCTAACAGGTGTTCAAAATGCATCCCACTGCCATCCTGTAATCCTTTCCATCCCTACTAGGGCTGTAGCACAGGGAGAGCAGGTAATCTACAGGGCATGATAAAAGCTTCTCACAACAAACACTGCTGCTGCCTTGATGTTTTTCTACATGCCTAGAAACCTGGTAAAGAAAATAAGCTTGTATCAGCTAATTAAGATACCATTGTGATTCCACTTTGACACTTGCCCGTGCAGAACTCATCTAATAATTGATGGAGCATTATCTGGTTTTTTCCCCAAGGCAAATTAACCCCCCCCAAATAACTCAAAAGGAGCCACTCAGGATTTTTTGCCTTTTTTTTATAGCAAGGATAGATCACTTGTGGTTTATTACTCCAGAAAGGAAACACTATAGGAAGGAATGGAGTCTTGCTGCTTTTTCTTAATTCTTACTGGAGTGTCAAATGCTTCTCATTAAGATACTTTCTAAACAACAGAAAAGTGAAAATCCTTGGATCCTCAGAATGCTATTTCCGCTTGGTAGCTGCTGACACTTTGATGCAGGTATTTTTTTTTTAAATTTAATTGTTTCTGTCTTGTGTTTGGTTTTTTTTTGAAATGTTGTTCTGAGCTGCTGTTGGTTGGGCAGGGAAGTTTCTTTATCTCAGACTGTCAGGTTCTCTGCCAGCTTGGCAGTGATGATAAGTTACACAGCACAGAAAGGAGCTTTGGGGTGGTCTGTAACCCTGGAATTCCTCCTGAATTTTCACCCTATACAAGTAAAATGCTGCTATTCGGTGCAATCCTGGAATTTGCAGTGTTCCTTGCTAGGCACATAAGATAAGGCATGAGCATTAAAACATCAATAAGAATTGTTATTTTCCTGGTTTCATTTGGTGTAAATCAGCCCTTTTTCCAAACAGGAGCATTTTAAGTACTGTGTTCCCTAAGGAAGGAGAGTTTTGCCGAGGAAATCTGACTTGCTCTGCTAGAAAGTAACAAGGAGGATGATACAAGTGGAGAAAATGTGAAGGATGAGCCCTAGCAACTGTAACAGCATTTCTATCCTCTGCAGTCCCAGTCCATCCAACAAAGTCTGCAGGAGGCTCCATCCTACCGAGCTAGCAAAGCAAGTATGGTCAAAAACTTCTCAAGTACCACGTAAATGATCAAATTTAGTGCTTTTTTGCCCCCCAAGTAATTAGCTCCTAATTACTTTCCTGCTTTTTTCCTGCTCTGTTTAAGTTCCTGACTTGTAGAATTCCTGATCTGCTACTACTGGACACAAAGATCCAGAATAATCCTAAAAATGTTTCAGT